CGGGCACCTTCAAGCAGTGCAAGAACAACCTGGTCAGGGAGGGTTTTGACCCCGGTGCCATCCGGGACCGTTTGTTCTTCCGCGACGACGCCCGCGGCTCCTACGTGCCCCTGACCCCGGAAACCTTCGCCGCCATCCGGGACATGAAGCTCAGCCTCTAGCGGCTCCTCCGGGCCCCTGACGGCCCCGGGATAATTAGCAAAGGTTAATTTGGGGTTAATCAAGCACTTTTGGGGTTCTTTTGGGGTGGTTTGAACCACGCTGGAGCAAGAGAGGTTGGTGCGAGCCCGCTCCGGTGCCTCTGTGCTGTGGAAATTAAATTAAAACTGAAATTCCCAATCTTTGGCTGCCGGGTTTTGGGGTTTGGGGGTTGGAACTCGCTCCTGATCCTGGTTCTGGGTCCTTGTTTGATCTGGAGCCCCCCCAAAAAATTTCGTCCTGTTCGCTCCCCGGGTTCTGATCTGGAACAAATCCCTGGGAATTCCATCCCAGCCCCTCACCAACCCCACAGAGGATGAAATTTCTTCCCAATATCCCTAAATATCCCGAATAATAAATCCAGCGTCCTAAACCTCCCCATTCCCACTGCCATGCCGCTCCTCCTCTGAATTCCTGCCCCTAATCCCTTCCCCCGAGGCATCCTCCCCAAAAACCCCACGAATTCCACGTGGAAAAGCTGAAATGTTTTATTTACAAACCTCCCCGGCGCTGCTGAGCCTCTCGGAGCCGGCGATTCCTCAGCGCCCTCCTCCTCCATCCCCCGGGGGCTCTTTGGGGGCTTTTTGGGGCTCTTTGGGGGCTTTTTGGGGCTTCTCAAGGACACCCTGGGGCTCCTTGGAGGCCCTTTGGGGCTCCTCGGGGTTCCCTGGGGGCTTTTTGGGGCTCCTCAAGGATTCCTTGGGGGCTCTTGGGGGCCCTTTGGGACTCCTCGAGGACATCTTGGTGGGTCCTCGGGGCTTTTTGGGGCTCTTTTGGGTTCCTTGGGGGCTTTTTGGGGACTCCTTGGGGCTCCTCAGGGACACCTCGGGGCTTTTTGGGGTTCCTTGGGACACCTCAAGGACTCCTTGGGGCTTTTTGGGGACTCCTTGGAGGCTCCTCGGGGCTCCTGGGGACTCCTCAAGGACTCCTTGGGGCTCTTTTGGGCTCCCTGGGGGCTCTTGGGGCTCCTCAGGGACTCCTTGGAGGCTCCTCGGGGCTATGTTGGGGCTCCTCGAGGGCTCCTTGGGATTCCTGGGGGCTCTTTGGGGCTACTCGAGGACTCCTTGGGGACTTTTGGGGGCTCCTCGAGGACTCCTCAAGGACTCGTTGGGGCTTTTTGGGGCTTTTTTGGGCTCCTTGAGGGCTCTTTGTGGCTCCTCGGGGCTGGCAGCACCGACAATTCCTCAGCGCCCTCCTCCTCCTCCTCCTCCTCCATCCCCAAGCGCCTCCCCGCCCTCCACCATCCCCGCCGGCTCCTTGGGGCTCCTGGGTGGCTCCTTGGGGCTCCTGGGTGGCTCCTTGAGGCTCCTCCGGGGCTCGGGGCCCGCTCTCCTCTCCCTCTGCAGCTCGGCCAGCCGCAGCCTCAGCCTCTGCTCTCTCCTTTTGCCGGCCTGGAGCTGCCGCTGCGCTTTGTCCAGCGCGTCCAGCGCGGCCTCGGCTCGGCGCTTCCAGAGCAGCGCGCTGCCCACCTGGTAGCTGTGCTCGCTCTGGATGTACGAGCCGGCCCGCGGCGGCAGCCGCAGCATGAACACGGAGGGCGACGGGGGTCCCGCGGGGGCTGCGGGGGTCGGGGGGGCTCCCTCGGGCAGAGCGGGAGTGGTCGTGGCTTCCTCGTCGCCCGTGGCTACCAGCAGAGTCTCGGGCACGGAGCCGCAGGGGCCGGGCAGGGCCGGGACGCCGCCGTGGTCGCCGGCCGGGGGCGGGCCCGGGTCTTTGGTGTCCCGGGGGAAGCAGGAGGCGTCCGAGGGGAACGGGGGGTGCGGAGGGGACGGGAGGGGGTCCCGTCTGTGGGGAAAGGGACTGGGGTCATCATGGGGAGACCCCCAAAGTGTCCCCAGAGCGTCGGGACAGTGGCAGAGAATGGGATAAGTCTGGGGGCAGCTTGGGGGTCTGGGGAGAATTTGGGGGATCTCAGAGATAGGAAAAGTCCGGGGAGAATTGGGGATCCCAGGGGGAATTTGGGGGTCCCGGGGGGAATGTGGGGAGGAATTTGGGGATGCGGAGGAGACGGGAGGGGGTCCCGTCTGTGGGGAAAGGGACTGGGGTCATCATGGGGAGACCCCCAAAGTGTCCCCAGAGCGTCGGGACGGTGACAAGGGTGGGGGAGGTCCGGGGAAATGGAGGGTTTTGGGGAATTGGGGGAGTCCCAGGAGAATTTGGGGGATCCTGGGGTTGGGAGAGGCCCAGGGGGAATTTGGAGGTGCGGAGGGGACGGGAGGGGGTCCCGTCTGTGGGAGGAGGGGCAGGGGTCATCATGGGGAGACCCCCAAAGTGTCCCCAGAGCGTCGGGACAGTGACAGGGGTGGGGG